GGCCCTTCTTCCATGGAAGCTGATGCAATAAGCATTTTGAGATCAATTACACCATCTCTTGACAATTCCAGGCATAAAGGCCAAGCTGGTGATGATAACAAATGCTCACTTGTTTTTTTTACCTCTCATTTTGATTTGAATTTAGCTAGTTGTTCTGTTATAATCTTGCATCTTTTTAGAGTTAGTTGTCTTATGAGTTTGCTTTAGCACGCTGTGTGTTTTGTGGTTCTAGAAAGCTCCAATTTTGGCTTCATTTGTTGATATCCAAAGGTGGATTTATGTTTTAGTTTGGGATTTTGAGCGACATTTTAAAACTCTTTGAGACTTTATTAAATTTTTTAGATTTAAGAGGTTTCTTTGGAAGGTGTGGAGGTGGGGTTTTGGGGGTGGGATTTCATATATATTTTTTGTTTATGAAATCTCACCTAATCTTAGAAAATCCTAGCATCCCAGTGTCAGTTTGTTAAGACTTTTTGAAATTTCAAATGAATACCGCGAGACTTTTAAAAGTCTTTAGAACTGCAAGTTAAATACACTAGGATTCTTAAAATCCGAACAAGTCTTCAAGAATCCTAAATGAATAATGTATAGATAAAAGTATGAAGATGTAAAGGGTAAAGGTTGGGAAGAAACAGCGATTACTTTGATTGAGGTTTAACCTTTTTATACGGGCCATTACTTAGTTAGATTTTTCTATTATCAGCAAAATATGGAATGTCAGTGTTTGAAAACTTTTATAACCACTGAAACTCAAACTTTATAAGCACTGAAGCTCAGCTTGTTGGTTGAAAGGACAGAACTCTTTTGCAGCCTAAGGTTGAAATTACTCATTTTGAGGTTTCCACACTTTCTCTATCTATGGCTTGCACTTCTGCTTTCTAAGGTTGAACATACTTTTTCACTTTCATAATAGACGATTCGGTATTTATTGCAAGAAGAATGGTTTCTATTTGTAGGGTGCTAATAATTAATTGAGGGCTGGTTGTTCATTTGAGTAATCAAATATATGTTGTGGATTTTCAACGGCATATATCATGGTAAAGGGTTTAATTGGCTTGATCAGTTGGTCTATTGAGACAGATCAATATGTAAATCTCAATAATTTGCAGCAAGAAATCTGCTACATTCGGTTCATATTATTCTGGTATGGCACTCCATAGAATCTTTTATCTTATGTTATTTAATTTTTTTTGGCAATACCGATCTAAGATGCTCTGGACAGTCATGTTAAAGCTCGCAATTCATTTCACAGCAGCAACAATCTAGAGGAATCTATAAGTTTTCATTTCAGTAAAATGATTCGTACATACATGGATTTCTCTTAGGTCAGATACTTATAGGGTAATTACATGCACGCTTAATATGAACTAAAATGACATCATTTAGGCCCTAATTAAAAAATCTGTTGCAATACTAATAAAATCAAGTTTGATAAAGTGCGATATATGCACTAGTTCAACATGGACGAAGAGAACTGATTTGAAACATCCCCCTCAAGTTGGGCCCTCGTAAACTTGAATCATGCCCAACTTGGACAGCGAAGAGTGAAAATGTTGCCCGATGAGTACCTTAGTAAACAGGTTAGCCAATTGATGACAGGAACATAAGCTGGCTTGACAAATCCTGCTTTGAACTTGTCCCGCATCAATTGACAATCAATTTCTAGATGTTCAGTGTCATGAAAAACTGGGTTGGCGGTAATGTGGAAATCCGCCTTTTTATCGCACCACAAAGGTGCAGGCCGAGACAATGTAAGACGAAAATCTTGTGCAGTAAATGAGATCCAAAGCAGTTCTTAGACTGTAGAAATTAGATGACTTTGAAACCATCTGCCGTTTCTTGATCTTCTAAGAGATCAAACAACCCCCTAAAAACACACAATAGCCTTTAGCGTGTAGACTTCTTCAGTAAGTAGCCATGTAAGAAGACGTTATTCACATCAACTAAGCAAATTCCACCCTTCATTGTAGTTGTGCAAATGAAAATTCTAACTGTGAATTGTTTGGCCACGGAGAGATGTCAAAGTAATCCACTCCTTCTACTTGTTTGTATCCTTTAGCTACTAGCAGCCTGGCTTTAAACCTCTCTACCGATCCATCTGCCTTCCACTTGATTTTGTAAATACATTCGGAACCATAGCTTTCTTACCATCTGGAATTTGAGTGAGTTGAGTTCCCAGGTGTTGTTTTCTTTTTTCTCCAAAGCCTTAATCTCTCTTTGCATAGCTTCCACCCAGCGTGGATGTTTATTAGCATGGCCATAATGTGTGCGATCCTTTTCAGATCAAACAAAGTGTGAGAATGAGACACATGTTCAAATGTAATTCTCCATCCACTTGGGTTCTTTCTTGATTCATGTGCTTCTTCTAAGAAACTCCTGGGAATGATACATTTTGCTGCAATAGAGTTGTGGTATGCAACAACTCCTCATGGTCATTTTCCTCAGATATTACATGTGGCAAGGAACATTCACTCCTCTGATTTTTCTCAAAAAGTCTCTTAGCTTCAAGATCATATAACCAATAACCCTTTTTGCCTGCCGCATATCCCGGGGAAATGCACTTTATCACTATGGAGTCAAATTTAGTTTTTGATGGCAAAACATTGGCAGCATACACAAGGCATCTAAAGGACTTCAAGCGGTTATACTTAGGCTTCATGTTGTATAATCTTCCAAATAGACTTTTCCAATTCAAAACTGAGCTAGGTGACATATATATCACAAAAGCTGTCGTGACTCGTGAGGACTGCAAAGGCCAGAAATTAAAGGTAAATTTGTGTGAAACAACATAGATCTGATCTGGCCACCTCCAGTAGACATGTGTTTCCTTTCATTCACCCCGTTTTGTTGTGGTGTGTATACACAACTAGTTTCATGTAGAATAACTCTAGTTGCCAGAAATTATTGTTGACCACCTTCTAAAAACTCTCCTCCATTATCTGATCTTATCCGGACAACCAACCAAACTGTGTTTCAACCATTTTCACAAAGGAACTAACTAACGTTCCTGTTCCTGTTTGTGGCTTATGCATCATTTGATAAAACCACTTCCCTAGACTGAAATTATCTACTGTAGTGAGAAAGAATAGAGTCTGTGCCACACAACTGTCTCTGCAAGGCCCCCAAACATCAATGTGTAATCGATCAAAGCATGTTGTAGTTCGTATGTTGTAGCTTGTATGCTGGTATTTGTAGAAACCAATCTATGCTGTTTAGATATGAAGCAAACTTCACAAGATTTAATGGCTTTCTTTCTGTCTTTATTACACAATGTTTCCAAAAGATTCAAATGACTCATGGTTGTGAAGGAAGCATGGCCCAAACATTGGTGCCAAGTCTCCAAAGTCATGTTACAGAGCACCATATCAGACTACTTCTTATTGTTAGTCTTTAAGATGTACAAATTCCCATCAAACTCTCCCATCTCAGTCATTTTCTCATTCTTCAATTCCTGTAATTAACACTTTGATGCAGTGAAAACCCACTTTAAGTATTGGCACAGAATTGTACAACTGAAACTGATAAGAGGTTGTACTTCAATGTGGGCACAAATATCACATCATGCAGAATCAAGTCATCCTTTAAGAAAACTTCTCCTTTGAGATATACAATCTTAGAGTTCCATCAGGCAAAGGCAAACAAATAGACACAGATGTATTAAGACTCTGGATGTTTCTCATCATCTCAACTCGAGCGCATATATGTCTACTAGGTGATGTATCTACAATCCATTCTTCCCTATGACTGCTTTCCATTGTAGACAATGCATAATGAACATCATTATCCTTTTCATTACCTACAAGGCTAACAAATTGAGCATAGGCCATGTTTCCTTCTGCTTCCTTGGTTTTGATATAATTAGTGAGTTTCTGCAACTGCTAAATAACTGATGAAATATCATCTTGTATGGCATGATCCTTTAACTCCTTTACCAGTCTGGCACTCCATGGAATTTTAAGCAGGTAGTCATATTATGACCACTCATTCCACATTTCTCACGAACCAATCTAGACTTTTTATCTTTAGTCAGTCTAGAACCACATCTACTTTCACCCAGGGTTCTTCATAGTAGGTGCTCCTTCGACTTAACCATTGCTGCACTATCAATCCACTCTCCATACACATTTTGCACCATTCTTTGCCTCTCAGCTGTCAGTATCGTGGAATAAGCCTTATTGACTGAGGGCAAAGGATCTAGCATTATCTGGGTTTTTATGTTATCAAAACTGTCATTGAGTCCCATCAAGAACTGGATCGACTTTGTCTCTGACTCATGTTGAAACATTAACCTCCCCTTTTCACAATTACATGCTTGCAATGGCACAAAATATGCAAACTCATTCCACAATTTCTTCTAAAGTACTCCATTACTGACTTATTTCCTTGATTCAAGTTAGATATTTCTTTCTTCAGTTTGTATTTCATTAGACCATTGTTTTCCCCAAATCTCTGGCAAGTATCCTCCCATAAATCCTTCGAAGTACCAGCATATATAAAAGATTTAGCTATATATTTTGAGAGTGAGTTTAATATCCATGATAAAACCATCCAGTCAATCTTTTTCCAACCTGCATAATCATTCATCATCTGGTTTGGAAACTTCACCATTAACGAATCCAAATTTTGATTTCACACCCAAAGCAATGATCATAGATCTCTTCCAAGAGAGAAAATTACTGCTTATTAAAGGATTCGAGATGAGCATCATACCGGGGTGATCTGAGCCATGAAGTCCGAGTGGATCCTGCTCCATCTTCCTCGATCCTGATCCAGCACTCGCATTCAACATGGGCTATGGAATCTTTCTCCTCTGCTCCGTTTGTAGCTAATTTAGCTGAAATTATACTTCTTCGAGCTGGAATTTTCCTTCTCCGGTTCAAAATCCGTCTGTGTTCCTGCTCAACTAAGTAAAATCGCTCACATTTAACCCCTCTAGATACCATGTTGAAGCTCAGAATTCATTTCACTGCAACAATCTAGAGGAATCTGTAAGTTTCATTTCAGTTAAATGATTCGTACGTACATGGATTTCTCTTAGCTAAGATATTTACAAGGTAATTACATGCACGCTTAATATGAACTAAAACGTGTAACCCTAGTAAAATTTCTGTTCCAATACTAACAAAAGCGAGTTTGATGAAATGCGATATGAGGCACTAGTTCATGCATGAAGAGAACCAATTTCCAACAAGTCAGAGGGGTGAACGACATTAAATGTCACTCTAAGTCCCAATCATCTTGGAAAGAATCATCTATTTAGTATTAACTTATGTTGAATGCCTGATTGTTCTACCAGGGAAGATAGCCGTTGTAGGTGGTTGCCGAGAATACACTGGTGCACCATACTTCTCTGCTATATCCGCATTAAAAATTGTTAGTTATCCCCTCTCTCTCTCTCTATCTCTCTATGTGTGTGTGTGTGAATGTGCCCATGCACTTATGTATCCTTTTTTTTGGTTATTATTTATTTGTTCTTCTTTAGAATGAAAAATCGAAGGATAAAGTTGTTTCCTTTTTAATCAAAGTTGTTTCTTTATTTATTTATGTATTTATTTGTAAAAAAAAAAAAAATCAGTATTATGTATTGAGTATCTTTATATTTCTCAGGGAGCTGACTTGTCACATGTATTCTGTACAAAAGATGCTGCTGTGGTTATTAAGAGCTATAGTCCTGAGTTAATTGTGCACCCTATCCTGGAAGAATCATACAGCGTTAGGTGAATTTTGAATTAAATTAACTTTTTGTTGCATATTTTATTAGTTCACCATTTTTATTTTTATTTTCTATTTAAGAGCCACTCAATCTACTGGTATTTTTCAGGGACGAGGATAAGAGATCAATATCAGCAAATATCGTTGAAGAGGTTGATAAGTGGATGGAAAGATTTGATTGCTTAGTAATTGGTCCTGGTCTTGGAAGAGACCCTTTTCTCCTGGTTAGCACATTACATGAGGAGTATTTATGTTTGTGTTTTTATAATGTTGATTTACTGTTTTAGATAGATAATAGAGTCTAGTTGTACTTGATTCGCAGTTTTTATGCTGGTGACACTAATTCAGCCTTCTTAACAATGCCAAAAACCTGCATATTCAACATAAATCTTTAGTTATTGATTGATCATAACCTGTGTATAGTTACCAAAAACTTCTAGGTAGTTTAGATTTTACTGATGGTCTAATTTCTACCTTGGCAAGCTTCTGAAAAATGGTTCCTTATATAAGGTTCTTATGTGTTCGTGTAATAAAATGGTTTCTGATCCCATCATTTTTTCTTGCTTCATGTGTAAGTATTTTTCTGCAGGACTGTGTCAGCAATATAATGAAGCACGCTAAGCAATCAAATGTCCCCATGGTTATTGATGGGGTAAGCTTTAAGACTTGACAAAATTGTATCTTCTCAACATGTATCTACCTAATCCTGTCCATTGCATAACAAGAGCTTACACGTAGCGAAGTCTTAAAATCTTTTGCCTACTTTTTGCAGGATGGACTTTTTCTCGTTACAAATTCCCTTGAATTGGTTAGTGGCTATCCCTTCGCTGTCCTGACCCCCAACGTGAATGAGTATAAGCGCCTTGTTCAAAGTGTTTTACAGTGTGAAGTAAATGATCAAGATGGAACTCAGCAATTACTTTCTCTAGCCAAAGGGTAAAAAGTTCATTGTAAATTTATTTTCCCGTGTTAGATCGTCTGTCATGATAATGTTGTAATATCAAGTTAGATCACTTGAAAAGCATCGACTAATAAAGCGTAATTATGTTTCTCCCTATGAGAGGTAATATTGTATGAGCACTCTTCCACCATCCTGCTGATTGTTGAACTATATACTTCCGTGATCAGAATAGGAGGTGTGACCATTTTAAGGAAAGGAGCATCGGACTTCATCTGTAATGGTGAAACAGGTACCTTTTTCCTAATTCAGATACAATAAAAGAGATATTTATACAAAATGAGTAAGCTAAAGAAAATTCCCCTTTTTTTCTTTTGGGCTTCGGAAGCAGACCATTATTTTGCCTTTTGTGTGAGTTCACATTTGTTCACGGTGTGCTATCTTTCGAGGAATTGTATTTTTAATTTGTGAAGTTGTACAGTTAGTGCAGTGAGTGCTTTTGGTTCCCCTAGGCGATGCGGCGGCCAGGGTGACATACTTTCTGGAAGGTAATACATTTGTTAGCTTTCTATGTAACAATTAAAGGGTTTTGCTTAGAGTGATCGGAAGAAATGTGAAAAAAAGAAGCTGAACAGGGTTTGTACTCTGTCAGGAGAAAAAAATGAACGAAAAGATAAACTTATACTTCGGCTTTTAGGCTTCATTTGAATCTTCACTTGTGTCACTTTCTGCATTGCAAACCATATTTATATCGTCAAACTAGGGGAATTACTTCCTATTGATGGATGTAGTCAACGATGATAAAAATTTGGTTTATGTATGCCACAATCTTCTGCCTAAGGATTGTGCCGTTTTCTGATAACAAATCGAAATTAAAGTCATGTTTCTAAACGTTACTCGTCTTTTTTCCTCCTTTTACTTAAAAAAAAAATATATTATTTTTACAGTGTTGCTGTATTCATTTCTTGGGCCCGTCAAAATGCTGCCAAAGAGGCATTGAGGATGAGCCCTACAGTTTTAGGGTGCATTGCTGGCTCCTTTCTGTTAAGGAAGGCAGCTTCACGCGCATTCGAGAGTAAAGGGAGATCTACACTTACCACTGATATAATCGAACACTTGGGGAGAAGGTCTCGTTTCCAGTTGATCCATACATGAATTGGATAATTTTGAACCTTCTAATTTTCTTTCGTAATTTTATTTATTTATTTATTTATTTTTTTTGTTTTGGGTTCTGCAGTTTGGAGGAATACTGTCCAGTCAGATGGAGGTTGGATTAGCCATAGCACTTGAGTTTGAGGTACTTTCACATGTTGCATTTGAGTTGTAACTCAAGAGTCTTCTTAAAAAATTCTCCTTTTGCTTTTGGCACTTGTAAAATAATTATGAACAACTATGAGAGACTTGAGGGCGGCTTTTGCCTTTTACTGTATGATTAAAAAAAATTAACATGGATGTATAGTGGAATTTTTCCCTACTTATGACGATTTTTTTTTTAATAACCTTGCATTGACGCCATCTCGTATGTATTTATTCATTTAATTGTATTGGTCAAAATGTTGATTTAAGTTGATGTGCAAAAACCCCATAAGAAATAATATTGCCTAGAACTAGGATCTCAATGCACGAGTATAATTATTATAGTAAA